CCAGGCCCCGCAGCCCCTTCCGCTGCCGGCAGGTCTTGCGGCACTCGGGGCAGCAGGGCGGCCCGCAGCCCGGCACGCGGTGGGTGCTGAAGCACCGTGGGCAGAAGTCGTGGCCACAGGCCAGTGAGATGGGCTCGCGCAGCCTCTCCAGGCAGATGGAGCAGGCGGGCAGCTCCCGGGGCACCGCTGGCTGGGACCCCAGCCCCAGCTCCAGCTTGGGGAACGGCGTGTGCGACCTGCGGGCAGGGTGAGGGGTGCAGGGGCCCCAGGGCAGTGGTGAGAGTGAGCCCGGGGGGAAGGCCTGTAGGGAACTGTCGTGGGCATGTCCCTGCCACGGACTGGCCCCCGCCCCGCGCACTGTTGGGGCAACCAGGCAAGACGGGGCTTGGGCTGTGCACTGCCCGGAGCCTGGCACACAAGCCCACGAGAATCCTCCCCCGTGGCCTCCTGCTTCGAGGGCTCCTTGCAGGGGTTCCTGCCCCTCCAGACCCCAGGGGCCCGGGGCTCTTCTCTGTCCCCCTGCAGCAGCTTAAACGTGCTGGGTGACAGGGACCCTGCAGAGAGGGCAGGGGCCAGGGTGGGCAGATGACTCTGGCTCCTGGAGGAGTCCAGCTCTGAGCACCCAGCTGACTTCCCTGCCCCTCCCTCCACGGCCCCCGGGCCGGCCTCGGTGCTCCCCCCGCCGGCCCCCCAGGCCCTGCCGCTTACCACCTGTTGCCGCTGTTTCCCATGAAGCTTCGTTTTCTCTCCTTGGAGAGAAGATGGGGGCAGGGAACAAAAATGTTATTCAGAAGAGAATCCAGACTTCTGTCTTCACCCTGGGTTTCAGGGCCCCCATCTCCCCTCCGCAGACCCATCCCCCACCCCAGGGGGCCCTTCACTGCCCCTCCCTTCTCCGCAGATCGCAGGACTGAAGACTCGCCTGTTTGCCAAGCTGGTGACAAAAGGAAATGACTGACAAGGGGGACCTGGGCATGGGAGGCCGGGTGCGGGGAGAGGGTCCGGAGCGGAGAAGGGGTGCCCAGGAGGCCTTCAGCGGGGGAGGGCAGCTTCGCTCCTTGGAGGGCTGGCCGAGCTGTGGCAGGTGGAGGCCAGGTAGGGGATGGTCTCCGGCAGGGCTGGGAAATAGATGTGATAGTGGGCCAAGAGGAGGCTGCCTCTAGACTCACCCCAGGGGGAGGAGACAGGACTGCGGGAACCAGGGCTCCTGAGGAGGGAGGGACAGAGCCGGCTCAGAATCCCTGGCAGAGGCTGGGATGCAGGCAAGCCGAGGTGGTGAGTCGCCATGGAAACGGCAGGGAGAGATAAGGACAGGGAGGGGGAGGGGGAGGGAAGCCATATGGGTGCAGGGCAGACGTGGAACGTGGGTTGGCACTGCCCCTCCTGGCCCAGGCGGGGTTCTTCCGGGGCCAGGCAGGGCGTGCAAAAGGCAGGGGTGTGCGAAGCAGGAGAGTACAGCCGGCAACGACACAGCGTGATGGAGAACCTCCCTCCTCCCTTGGAGGAGCCCATCCCGGGCACCTGCCATGTGCGGGCCATGATGCCACCACACCGCATGTGGCCTGCACGTCCCTCCCCCAGGGACGTCTCCTGGCGCCTAGTCCAGCTGCAGCCTTCCTCAGCGCCCTCGGCTGCTCTGACACGGGCTGCGTGTCCCTGGTGTCTTCCGCTTTCAGTGACTTTCCCTCTCCTTCAAGCCTGTGACAGTTGCCTGTGGACTTCCTCACTGCCTCGTGGCTGGGCTCCTCCCGTCCGCCCCACAGCGCGCAGCCAGCATCGACCCCGAGCATGTGCTGCTCAAACACCTGCCGTGGCTCCCTTCTACCATCAGTCAAAATCCAAAGTAGATGGCCCACATCCTCCAGCCCGAACCTTCCTCTGAGGCCCCTCCTCCCCCACCTCCGCACTTTCACTCAGTGTTCCTCCTGCCTGCAGGGCCCCCGCCTCCCTCCTGAGACCCTGGAAGGTCTAGCTCAGGTGCAAGCCCCTCCTCGGAGCCTCCCCGCCTCAGCCCTCGGCTTGGACAGGACCTTGCCCTCAGGAGGCTCGCGGCTCGGACACCTGACCCGTGGCAGGTTCGCTGGGACCCAGGCTCCGGAACCAGGCTGACCCGGCTCCAATCCCAGCCGACGCCCACAAGCCGGGCCCGGTGCTGCCTTTCACTTCTCTGCGCTCCGAGGGGTCACAACCACATACGGAAAGCCCCCTGCCCAGGCGAAGACTTAGTCTTAAGCCAGGATGCCGAGGGGACGGGCGGGAGCTTCATACCCTGGAGACCATCCCTGACCCCGGGGCTGGGTCTCGCTCACCGTGGCCCTTCGCGCTGGGGGCCCGAGGCCTCTGCTTGCGGGACTGAACCGAAGCCGAGAGGCAGCCCCGCGGGTCGGCAGCAAAGCCTAACGGGAAGGGGTGGGGCCGGGAGTCAGGGCCGTATCCCCTGCTCTCCTTCGAGGAGGGGGGTTTTCTCAATCACAGGGCCTCACACCGCTGGGGAGAGGGCCTAGGTGCTGGACTCCCGTGCAGTTCGACCCCTACTCTGTCCCAGCACGAGACCCTGGAAGTTGCTCTTCTCTCAGAACCTCCGTTTTCTCATCGCCAGGCAACCATGTGGGAAAACAGATGGGTACCCAGTCTTCCCCAGCGACAACACCTGGGTGCCGGCCCCCAGGCACAGCGGGGAACGGGAGAGACCAAGGCCCAGTGCTCCCCAGGGTTCCCTCCGCAGGGGATGTGGACGGGGTGGAAGTGCACCCCTGGGAACCCCTGCGCAGGCTGCTCACACTTCCTGGCCCAGGTCGGGCATGTGGGCCTGTGGAGGAGGCGAGAGCTGCCTGCTCCCACACCCAGATGCCCTGGGCCAATCCGGCTGTCCCTAGTTCTGTTTGAGCCCACGTTCAGGCCTCTGGATGGAGAGGGGGTGCTGGGGGGCAGGGATGGGACAACCAAAGGTGTGTCCTGGGGAGGCAGTGGGAGGGGGGCAGTCAGGAGCCAAGGCTCCCCCATCCCAGTCAGTGCTCCGTTCCCCATCAAACTTTCACTTACAAACATGGAAAGGAACATATATATGTATAAATTAATCACTACGCTGTACACTAGAAATTAACTGAACATTGTAAATTCGCTACTCTTCAATAAGTACATAAATAAGTACTGGAAATGGAAAAACATTCACTTACAAAACACAAGCCAGGGCTAGAATTAAGAAGGCTTTCCTGATGGTGACCTCAGAGCTCTGAGCAACGGCACTGGTCCACACCCGAGAAGCCGGCCCTGGTCACTCTGCCCGCTGTGTGGACCAGAGCTGAGAAGGACAGGGCTGGAGGTGGGCGGGGAGGCCAGACCACAAGGGGGGAGCCCCACCCAGGCTCCTTCTGGCTGAGGCCCAGAAAAGACTCAGTTGACATGCTCCGTGTCTCTCCCGGACCTTCTGCCTCCTCCATAGGCCCACATGCCAGTCCTGGACCAGGGAGTCCGTGACGGTCTCTGCACAGATGTTCCCAGGAGAGCCCAGAGACTCTAGTATTGGGCAGGACGTGCTGGTGCTGGTTCTACCCAAGGTGTCCCACATGCTTGCCAGGTGAGGGAGGAGTCTGCCCACCCATCCACCCACCCATCCACCCACCCACCATCCACCTGCCCGTGCACGTATCCGTTCATCTTTCCATCCATCCCCCACCCTCGTGTCTGCCCACCACTCTTCCATTCTTACATGCACCCCACACTAGAGGTATTCGTTGAGCACGTTACACCAGGCGCCACGCTGGCCCTGTGTGTAGGCTGGTGAACACTCAGGGTGCTTCCAGTTGAGCGGGGGAGACAGGAAGGCCACTAGACAAGGCCTGAGTGATACGCTCGTTGACTGGGTGGTGAGGGGAGGGGTGGAAGGACCCAGCACAGGCGCGAACTCGGATCTGGTCGCCCCGGGAGGCGTCTCCCACGAGGCAATGCCCACGCTGAGGCTGAGGGATGAGTAGGAGCTGGCCAGCAAAGGTGGGGGGAACCAGAGAGGTGAAGGAGGAGCGGCCAGGGTGGGGCATCCTGGCCCCCACCACGGCCTCACCCCCCATCCCTGCCCCACTGGGTTCTCTCGCAGGGCCTGGGAAGCTCCGGCCTGTCCAGCCAGAGGCCTCTGGGTGCTCTTGGGTGTCGTGAGCCCGGGACCCCCCCCAAAGGTGCAGCAAGATGTGCTCCCCCTGCCCCCCAGGCGCAGTGGCCACCCCTACTCTGCCCCTGGCCTCACCAAGATGCCAGACCCCTCGCGTGAGCATCAGAGCCCCGGCCAGAGGCGTCAGGCCACGTCCGGGAAAGGAGGAGCCAGACCAGGGAGCACAGAGCCAGAGGGGTGCTGCCCTGTCTGACTGGCATCTTTTAATTTCAAATAAAGAGCAAGATGAGGCCGAGCATGGTGTGGAATTCCTGCTTTTGTGGGGAGAAAACAAGGTGTCCACTTCGTGGACAGGCCCTCCCGGAGGCCACCAGTCCCCTCCCGTCAAGGCAGCCCTGGCCCTGCCCTGGGACAGACCTAGGATTGAAAGGCCCCCTCCAGGCCGCAGCCCAGAGGCCTGAAGCTCCAATGAGTTGGGGGGGCTGCCGTCAGCTCAGTCTGGCTCCCCACGAGTGAGGCCATGTGTCCCCCTCCCACCGATGGCCATGATGACACGTGCTGTGTAGTTTCTGTGCTCAGAGAGGGTGGGGGCAGTCAGCAGTGGAGGGCACCGAGGCCAGACCCCGGGCTCTCCACTGGACAGGCCGGGACAGGCCCTGTGCAACTGCCCGTGACCTGACCTTGACCCTGGGGACTTCCTGGCGCTGGTGGCACGGGAGGCAAGCTCTGACTCCCCAGCCTCCTGTTCCCATCCCTCACCATCAGTTCGATCCTTGGTTTCTTGAAATAATTTTCATAATCAAACTGTCGTCCAACCCTTGCTTAGCAACTTAGGGTCACAATGTCTGGCCACGGAAGCTGTTTCCACTGACTCCCACAACACAGAGACAACCCAGCTCCCAGAGCAGGGAGACCGAGGCCCCGTCACGCGGCGGCGGGCAGGGCAGGCCCCACAAGGAGCAGCCCCTCAAGTGGACCCGGGGAGAAGGAAGGCCGGACGCTGCAGGCAGAGGCGGCCCAGCCTCTCCCATCTGGAAGCTTCTGGCACGTGGATGAATGAAGTCACGCCCAAGCAGGCTCACGAAAGCCGAGGCATATTTTCAGAGTTTACGATGGATGCTTTAAACAGTAAGGGACTTGTCCCGCATGGAAGTCCAGGACCTAACGTGAGGCCCTCTCTCACCGCCTGTGCCAGGCCCCGGGGCGGCTGCCGGCGTCGCCATGGCCAGGCGCACCGACAGGGCGGCTCAACCCTCGGAGGTTGCCTTCCTCGCGCTCTGGAGTCTGGGATCCCAGGATTCTCCCGCGCCTCACCCCGTGGCTCCGCGGTGTGCAGATGGCCGTCTCCTCCGTGTCCCCACGTGATCATCCCTGTGTGTCTGCCTCCTAATCTCTTCTTAGAAGGACCCCATTCATCAGATCAGGGCCACCCTAGTGACCCCACTTGACCTGCATTCCCTATTTAAAGGCTCTACCTCCAAATACAGTCGCATTCTGAGGTCCTGGGCTTAGGACTTCAATGTATGCATCTTGAGGGAACACAGCTCAGCCCAGAACAGGCCCCAGGTGGACAAGGAGCGTGTGAACGTGGAGGGTGAGGAGAGAAGCCCGGGGCCACCGGGGGCCGGAAACGTCCCCGACGTCAGGCTAAGAAGACTAGACCCCGTCCCCCAAAAGCAAAGGAGCACGAGGGCAAGAATGGAATTTTCGTGGAACGTCTGGAAAGTGCTCTGACAGTGGTGTGGTCCATCTGAAGGGAGCAGGGGGCCAGTCTGGGGGGGAGGAGGGCAGGGGGGCACCTGAGGCCAGAACCACCTCTGAACCCGCACAACCCTGACCTCAGAGGAGAACGCCAAGAGTCAGAGTCACACAACCTCCTGACAAGGACGCTCCCAGCCCCAGCAGCCCGCCCACCCGTGCTGAGTGCAAGGCAGGGAGAAGCCAGAATTTCACCGCAGTGAACAGGCAGGTGGGCTGCGGACGTGGGACGCACAGCATGGGGGCGCTGACTGATGTGCGGACAGCGGGAGGGGACAGCGGTGAAGCTGGAAGGCCCCCCAGGCTTTCTGTAGTTCACACTGGCTGGCAGGGGTCCTGGGCTGCTGGCGGCCAAACGCCTTTACGGACCACCTTCCCCCAAATCACAACCAGACCTGGCTCCAGGCCGTCCCCCCTCACCACCCCCTGCAGACGGCCAGCCGCCCCCCAGGTCTGGAGCGTCCAGGCAGTCGGCCAGGGCACTGAGGGACACGGCCAGCTGGCCCCTGAGGAGAGAACTCCCCCAGCTGGAGTGGCCCTCCAGACCCCTCCGAGGTGAGAGGCAGCACTGTGCAGCTGGACCCAGACAGCCAGCCAGACTGAGTGGAGCCAGGAACCCCCGAGGCCCAGGCCTGGCATCCCGACCGCCCCTGGCCAGCTGGCCGAGGCCAAGACCACCCCCCAGTGTGGACCAGACCTGCGAGGCTGAGGAGGGCGCAGGGCCACACCCAGGCCTCATTCAAACAGCGATTCTGCCCAGCTGGCTGGGCGCCTCATGCCCTGCTCGCCAGCTCAGTTTCCCGGCAGGAGAACTCGAGGTGATCATCGCCCTGCGCAGGGTTATTGCCGAGAGGTGCCCATGCACCATGAAGGAGGAGCCCAGTAAATGTCGGCTGTTGATCAGCCAGGGCTCGCCTCCCTAAGCCCCGTCTCCCCAGACACCGTGCCCCCTGCCATGGCTCTCAGGCCTCCCTCCCAGGGCCTAACCCCTCTTCTCTGCCAGGTAAAAAGTTGAGAAATTCCTAGAGAAGCAGGGCCTTGCGGGGTACTCAGGGCACGAAGACAGATGCCCCAGATAAAGTACTGTCTTCAGCGAATTTCTCACACCAAGAAGCATGCTCACACACATTTACCGGGCTCCTAAAATACGCTGAGTTGCTGAGTCCTTCCTACAACAGAATCTCCAGTGCTCCCTGAATTCCTCCGAAGGTAGAAATATCGCTCCACTTTACAGATGAGAAAATGGAGGCTACCCAGGGGCCCCTCCCTCACAGCCACGCCGGGCTTCTGCTGGTCTCTCTCCCTCCCTCCCCTCTGTCCGTCTGTCTCTCTGTCTCATCTCTCTCACACACAGTGTTTCTCCCCATCTCTCAAATCCTGGGCAGGCCATTCCCGCTCCCAGCCCCGTCACCCAGGACTAGGCAGAGCGAAGTGGCTGCAGCGGCCAGGTGCTCAGCGATCCACAACACAGTGTGTCTGTTGACCAAACGAGTGTGGCGTGAGGTCAGGTAACAGGAAATGAGCCGCTGACCCCAGAGGTCAGGGAGGAGGGTGTCCGGAGGCTGGAATTTGCTTCTGCTTTCCGACCATGTGTCTGGCGGCAGAAAGAGCAGGAATTCCCCACCCGGATTGGATCAGCTGGCCCAGGCCGCTTGGCCCCAATGGACATACCAGTGCCCAAGAGGAGGGACGCGGTCGGCTCAGAGGTCTGGAAAGCCCTGGGAGCCATCCACGGAGCCCAGGCCAGCCCTGCACACTGCACACTGCACACAGCGGCCAGGTTTCACCACACCGAGAACCAGGAAGGTCTCGCACTGAGTGAACATGACAATCAGCAGGGACCAACGTCAAGTCTATGCAGATGCTGCAACTATTCTGACCACGACTGTAAAGCAGCTGCGATAAAAGGCTTCCACAAGCAGCTTCAGACACATGAGAAACAAACGAAGATGTAGGAAGCCTCAGCAAAAGAAAAATAAAAAGGTTCTAAAGAGAAAACAGGTGGAAATTTTAGAACTGAAGGATACAATAACCAAATAAGCAAAGTAAAAAGCCCCGTGGGCGGGCTCAGCAGCAGGACAGAGGGGAGCCCCTGGGGTGTGCCCTGGGCCCCCACCAGGCCTAAAGGGGAGATGGGGCACGGGGTCTCTCCCCCCAGGGAGCCCCTCTCCTGATGTATAACCAGCTGTCTGCGGAAGGAAAAGGGCCACACTCGGCTCCGCCACAGGCGGGAAGGAGATGCACGGACTTGGTGCGACCACTCGAGCACCCTGGAGGCGCCTGCAGCCCCACTTCCCGCCGTTCACAACTACACGAGCCCAAGTCCTCCAAGGCCCCCAAGGAGCCTCCCTACTTCCTTCCATGTCCCTACTTGCCCCCCTGCCCCGTCGGCCAGCTGACACCCCATCCCTCAGACGCAGGGGTGCACTCCCACCTCAGGGCCTTTGCACGTGCAGCCTCCTTTGCTCAGACTGTTCTTCACTCAGAGGTTCTCACGGCTCCCTCCCTCCCTCCCTGGGGGCTTTATTGCAGGGCTCAGCTGCCCTCCCCCATCGTTGATCAACAAGGCTTGATTGGAACTCAGCCAGGCTCGTGGCTACGGACCATCTACAGCTGCTTCTGGGCCTTGATGGCTGAGGTGAAGGGTCGTGTCAGAGACCGAGTGGCTCTCGGAGCCTGAAACAATTGGTGTCCGGCTGTTTATGGGACAGAGGGGCTGACCCAGCCTCAATCCCTCCTTACCGCTCACCCAGCGCCCCCTGGCCCGAACTGGACAGAACTTGGGTCCCTTCCTTCTGTTGCTTGTGTGTCCTCCCTCTGTTCATCCTCACCAACCCCCCCAGCAAGCACTGAGCCACTTCCGTGCCCTGTCTGCTGTCTGGGAGCCCCTCAAGGGCAAGAGGTCCACCAGATCTGGTCATCGCAGGGGCCATGCGCCGGGGCACCGAGATGAGTGCCTGAGACTCAGTGTTCAGTTTCCATCTCCCTCACTTTCCACATCACGAGCTCCCGGGGGCCTGCACCTCGCTGGGCTGACACTGCTGTCAAGCATGGTGACCCACACGGGACAGGTGTCCTCCTCCACATCGGTAGGAGTGGCACTTGGGACCTGAGTCCAGGATTCCCAAACCCATGCTCTCCCGCTCCGCTGTCTGCACTAATCCGTCTCCGGGAAGAAGCGTGAAGTGTGACGTGTGGGCATTTGATGGTTTACAAAGCAACACCACTCTGGTTCCAACCTTCCAGGCTCCCCTGAGCTGTGAGCCGACCCCAGCACCCGCTCCCCACCCACCACCGCACCCCCTCTGGGGCTCTGCCCCTTCCTCTCCTGGGGACCCCAGAACCCGGCTTTGTTCCCGCAGCAGGTGCAGCACCTGGACAGAGAGCTGCTCCCGCCCCAGCCCCCAGCCCCTCCCTGGTTGCCAGGAGGGAGTGGGGATGGAGGACAAATCGGGGGAGGAGCCATGTTCCTTGTGGTGCTTCCACGTGGACAAGTGTCATCACACATTGATCCAAACCCCAGCATGTACAGCGCCTGGCGTGACCCCTGGCATGAACCACGGACTTGGGGGGACGCTGGTACGTCTGTGCCAGTCCATCAGATGTAACGGACGTCCCACCTGGGGGGTTGGTGGTGGGGGACGCTGGGCATGCGGAGGGGGCAGGGGGTGCGTGGGAAACTGGGCACCTCCCTCTTTTGCTGTGAACCTAGAAGTGCTCAGAAAAATAGTCTATTTTTCTCAAAGCAGTAATTGCTGCTCTCTGTGCTTCCAGTGGGTGGGCTTTACAGGCTGTAAGTTCTGCGCACCCCCCAAAAATCCTTAAAACAAGGAAGAACTGGGAAGTAAAAATACTGTGGGAGCTAATTTTTTAAGTCAGTAGGCGTGTCGGACATTAAGGGTGTGCTCAGACATCAGAATTAAAAACAAAGGTGGAAAACGTCAGAGGAGAGATCCGGACAAAGGACGGATCGGGGAGCCAGTGTCCAATCCATCAAGCCATCAGGAAGAGAGCAGGGAGGACGGAGGGAAGGAAACAGCTGAAGGAGAGGCAACAGGGGGAGAAGCTTCTCAGGAGGCCACACGCCTCCACGGGGCCGGGCCACCAGGCGGCCACACGGCGACACGGGAAGGACCCCGACTCCTTGGAGCCCAGGGCGGGCACTGGTGATCTTGATACAGGGCCTCCAAGCACTGCTCTTCCCCAAAGAGGAGCACACATTCATCACATAAAACACAACCCCCAAAACCTTGACCTCTGTCTCCTCCCCAGGACGCGGCGTCCGCACAACCCACATGTCAAAACAAAAGCCACGCTCCGGAGTTACACGAATCCCACATTGGAAAACGGGACCAAAGGTTGTACCCCAGCACACTCCAAACCCAGAGGTGTCAGGGGCAGCTCCAAAGGTCGGCCACACCCCGAGCTTTGTCCACTGAACTTGCCCCAAACTAAAACACGCAGGGGGAGATGCCAAACCCCTCCTCATTTCCCCAGGGGACGGAAGGAATCCCCCTGGGAAGGCCCCGGTGGGCCAGGACCCCCGCTGGCCTCCCGCACGCTGTCCTCACCCACGTCCCCTTCAGCTCCGGGAGGCCCGACGGCTGCAGCCGCTCCCCTCCGCATCTGTCTGGCGCGGCCGGCCTGGCCCCCAACAGTCCCAGGCTGCAGCCCACACCCCGGGGCCTCAGAACGTGTTTGGAGACAGGGCTGAGGAAGGTGAAGCGAGGCCACCAGGGTGCTGGCTGGGCCCCAAGCCACCCCACAGCCTGGCCCTGCAGGGACCACCAGGGCCCTGCCCTCTGCCTGCCGCCCCCTGGGTCCCGCCCTCCCGCAGCTCAGCCGGCCTCGCTCCTTCCCACAGGCCACCCGTCCGCCACGGTGCCCCTCGCCTGGCCTGGGCTGGGGGACACCGCCTCCCCTCCTCTCTCTGCTCCCAGGAGCTTCCCTCTACAGCCCCTCCGCAGCCTCCCCAAGCGGGGGCCGGTCCTCGCTGCTGCTGCGCTTCTAGCACAACACCAAGGGGAAGCCCCGCGGTGCCGGGGTGCCGCCAGGAAACAAAGGCACACTCAGCCGTTCTACTCGGTTCCTAAGAGAATCTCATGAGGGCACTGTACCTGGGTGGGCGCGCGGGGGCAGCCAGTGCGGGGTGCCGAGGCGCCTGGGACCAGTGATGGCCGAGCGGTACTTGCCAGACTACGGGATGAGCCGGCCAAGGGGTGAGGAGGGGGCGCAGCCGCTGCCAGAACTGCAGTCCTGGGCAGCACGGGGCCGGGGAGGAAGACCCCAACCTCTCTCTTCCAAAAATCCGGGGGAAGCCAGGGGCCATGGGAGCACAGAACAGTACGGGCACAGGCGGGTGGGGAGGCAGCACCAAGGAGGTGACCCAGGCAAGGCCTGTGGGAGGGGTGGCCCCCTCCTGGAATCCACCTCTTGAGCAGAGAAAGCCACGGGCCTGGCATCCTGACACTGTCCCCGGAGACGCTGAGACCACTGAGGGCTGTGCCCGCAGCCCATGACACCCTCCAGTGAGCTCTCTGGGCTCCCCACCGCCTCCTGAGAACCCCGGTCAGAGCTGGCATCAGCCACCAGCCGGGAGAGGCCCCCACGAAGCTCCTCACCCATGGCAGGTGGGGTCTCTCCCAGACACATGATGAAAAGAACCACCAGTCGCCAGGAGGGCCGGGCCCCAAGTTCAGGGCCTGCGGCCCAGGCGGGGCCAAGATGACTCAGCACCTCGCCAGCAAAGTCACAGCGGGCCAGCCAGGGGCCGGAACCAGACGCCTCCCGGTTCCCACTGCCGAGAATGGATTCCTGCTGCCACAGCGGAGCCCAGGGCAGCCATTAGATCAGCTGCACCAGGGTCTCGTTCCACCAACAGAGCTACGCTCCCACTCCAGGCAGGGGGGGCCCCTTGACACAGGAAGCTTCCACGCTGGGCAGCTGACAGATCTGTGCACCAATTCACGCCCCTCCGTCAGTTCTCCCTCAGACGGGACCTTCAGAGGCAGCGCCAACTCCGGGTACACGGCGCCAACTTTCTTTCCCTAAAGAGTTAAACTAATTCCCCACCACAGCCAGCAAGGAGGCAGCCTGCTCTGCACACCCCCATACCTTAAGGTTTTCAGAAAAAACTAAGGCAGAATATGACGGATGCCACCCTGCTTGCTTCTTTCTCGTTTTGGGGGGTTCCTGTTTATCAGTTGCATTCTGCAGAAGTCTTTAATGCTTAAGACATACTTTATTATTTGTTTTGATGACTGTTCTTTATTTTCCTTTCTGTGGCCTGTGCTAAAATTAGCTGGCATTTGCTGAAAGGAGCGAGGTCTCAGGATCAAACTCAGCTGTGGAACAGGAAACACAACAGAGAGACTTGAACTACATAGAAGTTTCTCGCTCTGCCACACAGAAGAGGCCTAGAGAAGGAAGGGCGGTCCGAAGCTGGCGTTAGACCCGCTC